TTTCCTTTCCTTTCCTTTCCTTTCCTTTCCTTTCCTTTCCTTTCCTTTTCTTTTCTTTCTTTCTTTCTATTGATATTTAGTGGTTCCTTGTATTTGTGGCATAGCAATCTGTGATCTGCTATCTGGGTTACAAGTGTCACATCCAACCTTGTCACTTGCTTTTGAAGTCTTTGTTCTATTCCAGGTTAGGTTTTCAAAATATTACCTGTTACAAACTTTGCTTGTATGGTTTTGGGGTTTTAGTCTCCTTAAGAATGCCAAAGGAGGCGATTGGTGGAGGGTTTTTAACATTATCTGTAAAGCTTACATTTTCAAAATGTATCATGTGTGTAATTAAACTTTAAGTAATTTACTCTTGGGAAATAAAATATTTTCTTTGAATTTTCAACTCTTGTAGTTTTGATGTTTACATGTGTGTTTCATATAAGAGCTAGAAGGCTGTGTTCTATTTCCTAATTAAGAAGCTGATAATTTCAATTCAAGGTTTTTAGTAGTTAATTATTTTACACAGATTTTATTTTTAATTTTTTTTAATGTTCACTTTTTTTTTTTAATTTTTTAACGTTTATTTATTTTTGAGACAGAGAGAGACAGAGCATGAACGGGGGAGGGTCAGTGAGAGAGGGAGGCACAGAATCTGAAACAGGCTCCAGGCTCTGAGCGGTCAGCACAGAGCCCGACGCTGGGCTCGAACTCACGGACCGCGAGATCATGACCTGAGCTGAAGTCGGCCGCTCAACCGACTGAGCCACCCAGGGACCCCAAATGTTCACTTATTTTTGAGAAAGAGAGAGAAAGAGCAGGGGAGGGGCAGAGAGAGAGGGAGACCCAGAATCTGAAGCAGGCTCCAGGCTCCAAGCTGTCAGCACAGAACCCAACGCGGGGCTCAAACTCATGGACAGTGAGATCATGACCTGAGCCGAAGTTGAATGCCCAACCGACTGAGCCACCCAGGTGCCCCTTTCACACAGATTTCAAATGTTAGCATTATCATATATTAAATTCTACTTTAGGAATCTCTGGTCTGCCCCAGGGACTCATTTGTCTCTGCATGTCCATATTGCTGGACCTCTGTGACACAAGGGCGGAGGCCTCAGTTGGCGTCGGCTGGCCATGCAGGCACACTCTCCTAGGTCCCTGTAAGGCTGGTTCGCCAGAATAAGATTCCCTGTGCTCTTGGTAAATTCTTTTGTATATTCCAGGTTAATATTTTGTCTTATAACGTGACTGGTGGACCACATTGTTCCGAGGCACTGCTGTGAATAACCCCATCGGGAATCTCTTCCCAAGCTCACAAGCTCCCAGGTCACTCCCATCCTGTGTGCTCAAGCCTTGCAAGCCCTTGGAAACTCATCATGAGACTCATGATTAGAAAATCCCCACACAGCTGAAAGCCCTCATGGTTCTTTTCAACCTCCTGCCCTCATTTATCATGTACGCACCGCCCGTCAGCGTCAGCTGGAAGCAGAGATGCTCTTCCCCCCACATTTCAAGATGCTCATGGTGTGGACCAGACAGCAGGTGCACTTCTGGCTCACGCTGGCTCCTTCCAGACTATTATGTCTCTTTACTCTTTCAAAACTTCCCGCTACTTTGAAATCATGCTGGCAACCATGTGCTGCCTTCCCTGCAGTCATAAACCTTTGAATTCCTCCCCCGTCATCTTCACCCTTAGTCCTGCTCTGGTCACTATTCATCGCACCCCCATCCACCAAGTTTCTTGACCATGTCTATGACACTGATAGATTTCTGTCCCCTCTCCTCGTTCTCACACCTCCGAGGTCTATCATTAAGACTTCTGATAGTTTTTCCCATAGGATTCAATCTCCCTCCCTTATCAGTTTCTTTCTTAACCAGTTTGAATCCATAATCCAAATTAAAATTACTTCTTTAAAAACACCCTGTTAGAGGTGCCTAGTTGGCACAGTGGGTTGAGTCTGACTCTTAATCTCAGCTCAGGTCATGATCTTGCCAACCTGAGATTGAGCCCCACATAAGACTCTATGTTGAGTATAGAGCCTCTGAGATTCTCTCTCTCTCTCTCTCTCTCTCTCTCTCTCTCTCTCTCTCTCTCCCCACCCCCCACGGGTGAACCCAAGAACACACACACTCACACACTGGTTCTGATTCTCAGGAGAACCCTGTCTAATACACATCTTACCTCCTTTGCTTCCTTCCTCCTTATTAAATTATTTTGGACTATAACAGTTAATGTGAGACTGGTTAAAATATAACGGTTAAAACCCATGATGGACTCAATCCTCATTTATACTAGTTCAGCTACAATAAAATCTAAAGAAGACTAATGAATCATTTTTCCGGGTTTCCCACTTGATTTGAAGAACCCAACCCCACAATGAACACTCGACATTTTTTCTCGTAATTCCGCTACGTTCTCCCACTCTTTTTTCTGTCCCACTCAGAGAATTGTTTCACATGCTCAGCTCTTTTGTCAAGCCTCAAATATGTCCCTCCTGCCCCCTCTCACCTCAGCTTGCTTTGTGATTCCCTGGTAGAGCAGGAGACAGAGAAGTAAGTCACCCTGGGGCCCAGATCCACCTCCCTGGCTCCACACTACAGCCCCCAGCCCCTGCTGTGATTGAGGATCAAGTACCAGCCCACCCTCCACCGGCACCTAACTGGTCATCCTTCCAGATCTTGCCAATGATCACTTATGGGCTGAACATATTACATATTATATTCCCAATTCTTTTTTTTAGAGTATTTTTGAGAGAGAGAGAAACAGAAAGTGCACATGCAAGCAGGGGAAGGGGAAAAGAGAGAGAAGAGAGAAAGAGAGAGAATCCCAAGCAAGTTCCGTGCTGTCAGTGCAGACAGAGCCCATCATGGGCCTTGAACCCATGAACCGTGAGATCATGACCTGAGCTGAAATGAAGAGTCCAAGGCTTAACCGACTGAGCTACCAGGCACCCCTCCCTATCCTTTCTTAAAATACAATTTCCAAATAAGCTAAAACTGCCCCCAACATTCCCACTTGCCTGCTATACCTCACGACTCAATATCTACCAAATGGCTCCTCCAGACCCTGCCTCCACATCCGTCCCTCCCAACGTCTTCCAAATTAATTCAGCCTTGACCTCCTACACTCTGAAACAATTCCTCTTTTCAAAGTCAGTGACGGAATATCTCTTAACTTCGCCTCCACAGCCAACATGGGTGACAAATCCCACTTTCTAGAGTTCTTTTGGTGTCCCTGCTGCTTCTGACTTTTCTCCCACCTCCGTGGTTTTCTTAGGTTTCTCTCTCCTTTCTTTCACCTTTTAAACATGGGAGCAGGACAGGGTTCATCACCATGCATTTTCTGCAGAGGCGATCCCATGCAGTCCCCGGCCTTAAGCACCATGTATATAAGTGGGCTTATGTGCTCATGACTTCTGCATTTATTTCCCTGCCTTCAAACCCTCCACTGAGTTCCAGGATGATGGGTTCAAAGGCACAGAGGACAATTTCACCGGCGTAACAAACGTGTGTATCCAGCAACCATGCCCAGCTCAGAACCCTCGACAGGTATGGTCCCCACTGCCATTTCCCACCTCAACAAAGGGCACTGTCACAGGCGGTTTCCGGAACCAATAGGCCGAGACCTGGATTCTTCCACTCACCTAATGCTATCATCCGTCGCATTCGCGAGCCCCAAAACATCCACCCTCGACACACACCCCAAATTCATGTGCACTTTTCACCTGCATTGCTTCTCTCTCAGCAGCGGGCACCCCTCGTTTCTGTTTCAATCCCTGCCTTTGGATAACACACTCTCCACAGGACAGCCAGAGCGATCAAGCTGGTTATCCTCTCCTCTGCCTAAAACGGTGGTTCCCGGAATAAAACTTACACACTTCCGTACTGTATACGGCCTCATGACACGCCTCCTCAGCCTATCCGGTCTCTCGCCGCTTTCTAGCTGGGCTGGACTTCAATTAGGGCCTCAAATAAACACAAGTTATTATTACCGGTACAGGCGCTTCGCCCTTGCGCTTGCAATCCGGAACCCACGTGCCCTTTAGCGTGACATTAACAAGACCTTTTTAAAGTATTAAGATTATTTTTTAATGTGATCAAATATTTATACAAGCCGGCCAAAGAGGGAAGGTGGGGAAGAAAAACTATTTTCCAGAAAATGAAGCGAAAAAGGCACTCAGGGGGAGGCCGGGGGAGGCAGGGGACTTATCAACAATTTTCAGTGCGGGATCTACGCAGGAAGGACAGGCGGGTCTGGGGGCCGCCGCAGTCCTGTGTCAGGGTCCCACGCAGAGATAGAGCAAGGGGTCAGCGGGCTGAGAATAAATACACAATGGTGAGTCTCAGGAGGCAGGTAAGGGGGCTCTGACTCAGGAATCAAAGGAGCCTGAGGGCTGGGTAACCTCGGGGTGGAGAAGAAGAGCCCCAGGCGCTGCTCTTAGGTACTGGAGGAAGGTGTGAGGCCCCAGGAGCGCGGCCTCTTTTCTCAGCTCTGCAGCTGAGGATCTGTGTCCTGGGCTGACAGTGTCCCTGCTGCAGGGTGGTCAGCAGACGGTGGGGGCTGGGCATCGGGCCCGAGGTCCGCGTCCTCCTTCGACACACTGCAGCTCCAGCAGTGAAGGCTTCTGACCAGCGGCCCTGGCCTGGGCACGAAGGAAGGGACCTCTCCATTTCTGATCAGGGGCTTAAAGGCGGAAGGCCTGGGCTCTGGGTTGGGCCTCCGGCTCGCGCCCTCCGGGATCTCAAACCACAGGGGCCCGTCAAACCTACGGTTGCCCTTAGGGCACTGGCTGAGGGCCCTCAGCACAGTCTCCTTGGCACACGGGTCCGGGCGCTCCTGGGAGAGCGGAAGCCCAGCAGAGCAGGCGCCGCGCCCCTGCGCCGCAGACGCCCAGGGGCTCCCCCTGCGCTCAGGCGGCGCGATCTTGACGGTCACGGGGCTCCAGGTCCGTCTCGGGTGGCGGGCACTCCAAACCCACCGCTTCATGTAACTCTCCCAGGCGCTGGACAGGTCCGGCCCCAGGACAGTCTCCGGGGGCGCCTTGGCAGGAAAGCGCCTCCAAGCCTCGGTGACCACCCTCCGCGGGCTGGAGGGGTCCCAGTTAGGCGGTGTCCGGGGGAGGGGGCCGGTGCGGACGCGGCGCCTGCCGTCCTGGGTCGAGGCGGGCGGGGGCCGGGGTTTCGGGTGCCCTGCGCCGAGGGGTGGCTGCGCGGGCCTGGGCGGGCTCACGTTGCTGCCCATGGGAGCCGACGGCGGGGCGGGGGCCTTCCGGTGGGGATTCGACTTCCAGAAGTTCCCAAAGTCGCAGGACCCGGCTGCCAGCGAAGTGTCCGGGGCTCAGATGACTGTTGGCGTCTGGGCACAGGGAAAGCGCGCGAGCCTGGGCGTTGTAACCGTTCTCAACCTGGCGGGCGCGTGGGGCCCGCAGCGGGGACGCGGGAGCTGATTGCTGGCGCAGCGGCAGCCCGCGGGGCTCACAGCCTCCAGCCTCCGTTCCCCTCGCTGCTGGTAGCAGGAGTTTGGCTGTGGATGGAGGCCTAAGCGCTCAGGATCTCCACTCCCACCCCCACCTCCCAGCATTTTTATTGTGATATCATCCACATATCATACAATTCACCCAAAGGTTACATTTCTATGACTTGTGGTATTTTCACAGATATGTGCACTCATCACCATGGTCAACCTGAAAACATTTTCATTGCTTCAAAAGCAAATCCTGTACTCAATAGCTATCCCATCCACCCCCTACCTTTCCGGAGCCAGGAAACATTCACTAATTCATTTTCTCTCTAGATACAGATTTTCCTATTTGTGAGCTTTCATATAAATGGGGTCACATAATATGTAGTGGTTTGTGACTGGCCTCTTTTGCTTAGCCTATGCTTTTCCAGGTCCTTCCATGCAGCAGCATTTCACTGTTGTTATGGTCCAGCATCATTCCATTGTATGGAGAGACCACATTTTGTTTATCTGTGGCCAGTAAATGGGCATTTGGGTTGTTTCCAGTCATCTGATATTATGAATAATGTTGTCATGAACATTCATGTATAAAATTTTACATGGACAAGTGTTTTCATTTCTCTTGGTGTGTAGCTAGGGCAGAATTGCTAGGTCCTATGGTAACTGTTTAAGCTCTTGAGAAATTACCAAACTGTTCTGCACAGGGTCTGTGCTGGTTTACATCTCCCCCAGAAGGATTGTCTCTATTTTGGTACTCGACTTTAGAGGAAGAAGGTATAATAATTCCTGCAGTTCATAAAAATTACAGATCCAGTATTGACAGACGGCCACTCTCTTTCATTATCGTAAAAGCTAAACATAATTCATTTGAATGCCCTTTTAAGGAAAAATAAATAACCGGTTTTTGTTTCAGTAAACATGATACATGTTTTATTCTTCTAGAATGGTTGTTAGTGTTACTTTCTGCAATTTGCTTCTTAAGGAAATGGTGACAGCAGACCACGATTTACGTTTTAGCCCCAACAATGTGGGTTTTATGAAGACTCCCCTGTAATTTAAGCTTTCCTACATTCATACATTCGCAGGTGGATTTTATTCTCTTTGAACGTTAATGCCATTTCTCTTTTTTCCATCGTTATTGGTAATCCACGTCTACAACAGCAGTGGTTCGCATTTCCGATGAACAGTGAAAAGCATCTGACAACAAAACCAGTGTTTGAAGACTAGAATACATATATTGTGGGGGAGGCTGAGGGTGGTGTGAAACTAACTGTTCCCCAGAACGTTTTCCTCAAAGGTACGTGCCTGCAGAATGAGCCAGTAAAGGTACAGAAAAGTGGAAGCTGATGAAGTAAGTACCAAATCCAAGAGCAAGCCACAGGTGCATTTTGGATCTGAGAGGCAAACAGGTAAATGTTGAGGACATTAGAAGGAGCCTACTGAGAAGGCTCCATGAGGCTTCTGCAGTTGGGAAGGAATCCGCTTGTTGGAGAGGTAGGTGTGCTATCAGCCAAGGGGTACTGGAGGATGAGATCTGTAACACTTTCCACTCACCAATTCCTGTTCATTTCTTCCACATTCCTTATTTGGTGACGATCCCTCAGGATATGATTTTGAAAACAAGAAATTCCTATGCTATAATTTTCTTCTTAACAAGACATTTCCTGATAATTATAGCAATGACTCTATAGCTAAGAAGCCTCTTAAGACAGTAATATCATTGTCACCAGAGTGGACTGTCAATACAATTGAATATAGATTTCTTAAAATGTATTTCAATGCCCAGTATCTACAGGGTTTCCCACATCCTATTTTCAGTACGGTCCTATGAGCACCATTTTGGTTTGTGGTTAAATACTCTTTGAAAAACCACAATCTCTCTACTGGTGAGGCACATAAGTTAATCCCTTGTAAACAGATATTCACCTGCAAATCAACATGTTGATTAGTTACAAGTTATTTGCATTGACAATGAATATGTCTGCTTCTTCTCTTTCTCACACATGAAGAGATAACAGATTTATTTTGGTTAGTTGACATTAGAAATTAATGTGAATCATTGGTTGACAATTAGAAGCAACTCTCCTGCTTCCCACTCCTATCCCAGGGACATTAGAAAAAGTAGGCTGGGGATGTCACTTACATCTAAGGGGTAAAGGCCAGGAATGTCGTCAAACATCTTATGGTGCACAAGACAGCAGAGAGTGATCTCACCATAGAAGTCAGCACTGCAGGGACTGATAAACTCTGCCCTGTATATAGTTCCCTTATCTTCCTTATCTTAATGTTACTAAGTTATGTAACTATGGTAAGTTTCACAAACTATGAAATTAACTTCAGTTCAATGCTACAAAACAAACTCCGTTTTCTATTTGAATTTTACCAATTGTTCCTTTTCTTTTTCAGGAACGATTTTTTTTCAGTCAAATCCAAGGTCATGAATGTAGACCCATCGATTGACAGGTGGATAGAAATATATAGCTCTATGGATACCTATAGATATATAATACACTTCTTTGGAGAAGTGTCTATTCATGTCTTTTGCCCATTTCTTCACTGGTTTACTTGTTTTTTGGATATTGAATTTGATAAGTTCTTTATAGATTTTGCATACTAACCCTTTATCTGATATGTCATTTGCAAATATCTTCTCCCATTCATTGGTTGCCTTTTAGTTTTGCTGATTATTTCCTTCACTGTGCAGGTTTTTAATTTGATGAGGTCTCAATAGTTCATTTTTGCTTTTGTTTCCCTTGCCTCCAGAGACGTGTTGAGTAAGAAGTTGCTGCAGCCAAGATCAAAGAGGTTTTTGCCTGCTTTCTCCTCAAGGATTTTGATGGCTCCCTGTCGTACATTTAGGTCTTTCATCCATTTTGAGTGTATTTTTGTGTATAGTGTAAGAAAGTGGTGCAGGGTCATTCTTCTGCATGTCGCTGTCCAGTTTCCCAGCACCACTTGCTGAAAAGACTGTCTTTATTCCATTGGATATTCTTTCCTGCTTTGTCAAAGATTAGTTGGCCATACGTTTGTGGGTCCATTTCTGGGTTCTCTATTCTGTTCCATTGATATGAGTGTCTGTTCTTGTGCCAGTACCATACTGTCTTGATGATTACAGCTTTGTAGTACAGCTTGAAGTCCGGGATTGTGATGCCTCCTGCTTTGGTTTTCTTGTTCAAGATTGCTTTGGCGATTTGGGGTCTTTTCTGGTTCCATACAAATTTTAGTATTTTTTGTCCTAGTTCTGTGAAGAAGGCTGGTTTATTTTAATAAGGATTGCATTGAATATGTAGATTGCTTTGGGTAGTATCGACATTTTAACAATATTTGTTCTTTCTATCCAGGAGCATGGAATCTTTTTCCATGTTTTGGTGTCTTCTTCAGTTTCTTTCATAAGCTTTCTATAGTTTTCAGTGTATAGATTTTTCACCTCTTTGATTAGATTTATTCCTAGGTATTTTATGGTTTTTGGTGCAACTGTAAATGGGATCAATTCCTTGATTTCTCTTTCTGTTGCTTCATTGTTGGTGTATAGGAATGCAACCAATTTCTGTGCATTGATTTTATATCCTGCAACTTTGCT